GCAAAAAAAAAAAAAAAAAGCAAAAAGCAAGTATTAAAAGCAAGATTCACATTTTTACCAAGATCATGAAAAAATAAGTGCCAAGTGCCAACCTCCAACCCTAATTAATTTCAGGGAGTTAATTAGAAGCGGCACCCTGGGTTACTTTAGGATTGGGGTTTAAAGTATAATTAAAAGCAAGATTCACATTTTTACCAAGATCATGAAAAAATAAGTGCCACCGACAAACCTCCAACCCTAATTAATTTCAGGGAGTTAATTAGAAGCGGCACCCTGGGTTACTTTAGGATTGGGGTTTAAAGTACAAAATCAAAGCCTGTCTAACAGCTGAGCTGGGGATGGAGATAGAAAAGCACTTTCTGAGTTTGCTTTTCGTGTAAGCTTTCACAAGGCACTGGGGAAACCTACTGACATAATAGTATCTGGGGCTTCCCAAGGGACGGGAACCCAGCCAAGAGACTGCTGCTATTTCTACTGCCTACAATGTTGCTTTAAGAAACCGCAAAGATGTAAACGCCAGTGTAGACACTTAAGAATAAATGCAAACAGCACTAAGGACGTTTCTGAGGATGCTGCTGTTGCTTTATGATAATTTTTGCCCTGTTCAGCTACCAAGCTACTTCAAATGAAAAAAATCATTCTCCCCCCTTTTTTTTATCAAAGGAATTTTGTTGCTGCTGAATGTGATGACATCCCTTATGCAAAACACAGTTAAATGTTGTGTAGTGGGTTTCAGAGAAAATCATGCACAGAGGAGACGGCATTATCTTCTACGCAGCAAACAGAAGTAACTGCACGGCGTGTAGCTTTGCGTTAAAAGTGTGCTACACCATACACTTGACTGCACTTTTTTCCTTTTCAGCTATTCTGAAGAAAAACCCAATAATTTCAGACATTTATAAGAGGAATTCTCAGATTCTTCTCAGCTTTTGTTAACCAAGCCACTACTAATAGGCAGAATATATTCTTTTAAGATACAGGACCAAGAAAAAAAAAAGAGAGACAGACAGACTGCAACAGGTCACAACAACATCGGTACCAGTGGCAGGCTTCTGCACTGTCGGAGGAGAAGTACATCACATTTGGGCAGTGTCATATCCTAGTGCACTATTTCAGAGCACTGGACAGGAATGTGCGATAGTCCCACATCTCTTCAAACAAAACTCCCATCAGATTGCTTCTGCTGGAAATGCTTGGGGATTTTTCCCTACACCCAGCTTCTGCCATCATCAGATTTAAAACCTGCACAAAATCTATACGTGGCTTTTATTAAAATGGGATTATGACCTACTTTTTTTTTTTTTTTAACCTGGCATGAGATTAGGAATTTTGTGTTTTTTCTTTGTCCCATCACTCTTTTTATTTTCTTTTACAGATTCACCAATCTTGAAAAGCGGTTATCTCATTTTGCATCAGTTGACTGTACTGACTCCAAGGAGCCCATTTCCTCAAGCAGACTGGAGCAGCGGCACTGTTTGCCGTCAGTAGATTTTGTCACTCAAAGACTGCCCAGAGACAGGCTGCAAACTGACAGCTATGAAGCACAAACCTCCCAAAATTTCTGCTTTTCCAAAAAAAAGAACCAAAACCCTCTTCTAGGTTCCTTGGTTCTGTCTGTTGGCACGGTTTCATGTATACATACGGCTGGGGGTAAAATAATCATCTAACAGAGCCCAAAACTCTCATCATCACTTGGCAAACTCTCAAGTCAAAGACAAATCTGACACTGCTCCACCTTATCCTCATAGGGTTTATAATAAAGGTGATAACCAAGTTTGACTCATTAAGCAGTCGTTTACTAGCACATGATGGAAAAGACTTGCAAGAATGAGTCTTCGCCTTCAAGGGACTGGGTCTACCTCTATCAGGAGAGATTCCCATACCATCCCCAGCTGAGCCTGTGGCGTGGGGCAGAGAAAGCACTGGTCACGACTGGTTTCTTCTGAGCTGGACAGGTTTTTCTACCTCTAACAATGCTGGGTGACTGATGCAGCTTGGTACACTGGTGTCCAAGCAGCTCCATGTTGTCCCTTTGAGCCTCCCTCCTTCCTGTTCCCCGAGAAACCGCTCGGTGGCAGACCCAAATGACGTTATCCCTGCCTGATTCAGCAAGTGTGATAAGGCCATTTACAGAGGGGTCCTGGGGAGATGCCAATTGCCGTATGTTCAGGAGGCTGCTGATGCACTTCTGTGCACTTCATCACTTTTGATGTGATGAGCACCACAGCAAGCTGGGCACAGTGATGTCTTTTTAAGATGAGGGCTGGCATGTGAACTAGAGTGATTCACTGCAGGTGAGCAAGACAGAGGTTGGGGCAACAGCTATAGGAGGTACAGAAAATCTACCCTGTGAACAGAAAAAACACACCCTCCATTTTTCACCTCTGACTCAAACTTTGGGGGCTAGATTGATCTCTCTTGACTCCAGCTGTCTATGGTGTAACTGAGCAATCACATTAGTATCCCTGCACACTCATAAACAAAGAATTCCAAGAAGCAATCTGGTAACATTTTGGATTAATCTGGTAATATTTTGGATAATGACTTCAGGTTGAGCAGAACCATGCCTTACTGATGCCTGTTACTCTTCACTGACTATAAAGGGAGCCTACATGACTACTTAGATATAGACTTCTGCTATATAATATATCCCATTCCAATTGACCGTTTGCAGTCCGGGGGCACTTCAGGATGCCAACATGACAGAGACAGCTAAGGACCAGTTCTGATTCATCTGCTCCTGAGACGTTTTCCTTTGGACGCTGACATGTTTACAGTAATTGCTGTTTTTGCCACAGTGACACTGGACTTGTAATAACACGTTTTTGTGGAGTTTCACCTTGAGTCCCTTCAGAACATGTGACTACTAAGCTATTCCCAATGCTCAAGGACATTTCATAACAGACTTATGAGTGGACTTTAAGGATATCAGGTGTAATCTAGTAGGTTCTCACTGGTTCGAGATAGTGCTGGATAGCATACTTGTTTCTATGTATATCACAATATTGCAGATCAGCAGACGGTATTCTCCACTTCGTTAAGGTGTTATTTTGGAATGGAATCCTGTGCAGAGTCATCATAAGATAAGCAGCCAGGCAGACTGCTAAGACTGCACTTCTGGGAGTGGGACGACTTGAGATAAAGTCAGAGATATATGGTATGTAGGAAGGATTACTCAGCAAGATTGCGGTAACAGTATGATGGAAGCTCAGTGGTTGATGTAAACCCCCTCTGTGTGCATTAAGTACTGTATTTTCACTTAGAGATGCTTTCTAGATGATGACTTGGATATCACTAAAATTAGCATAAAACTTGCATTTCCTCATCATACTCTGTGTACATTCTGATGAGGATCTTATTCCTCAGGTATTCCTACTAGTGTCAAAAGCATGTGAAGATGGACGATAGCTGGAAGACTTCTGGATGCATTCACTGTCCAAAAGATTTCACTTCTCCTGTGAGAGCGTTACTTATTTCTCCTATCTCCAGATATGGTTGATGCTTCAGTTTCTCCAGTGCCGGGCAGCGTGGTTCTCCAGCTGGCTCAAAATTCTCCACCTTGGATGAACAAAAAATTAGCCACAATACTTTCTCTCGAATTCATAAGGACTGTAAAGGCCTCTTCTTCCCTCAGGTGCATATGCCTATTCATGCAGGTCTCACCACTGGTCCGTCCGTCCAGTTTTTCTCATAGCTCCCTCTCATACTCTTTGCAAACTTTGTCTTTGTGCCCTTTGCCCAAGAGACTAAGAAAATTCAGAGCTCCTGCTCTTTCCTATTCTTCTCCATGAATCTAACAGGTTCCACCAACTTCTTTAGACTTATGGAAGAATACTTTTATTTTATCAGCAGCAGGCTGAAGTACAAGCTCAGAACTTGTTCTCTCCTGTGATGGGGGTCCCCGCATCACGGACCCAAACTGTGATACTAATGAATCTCCTGAAATCCGATTTGAGCCATGACTGTGATGATAGCATAAAACAAATATGAAAAAAAAAAAAAGAAAAAAACCTCAAGTCTTCAGCCATATGGATGGAGGAAATACCTATGATGTCCTGACCAGTTTGCAAACATTTGCCCAGTTATCATATGGTGCCTGCACGAACTTGTCAGCATCGTTGCATCAGTCGGCACAAAACTGTTGTCATTTCTCATAATCTAGACAAAAGCAGAGGAGACAGCATGTGGGGGAGAGAGAGAACGTGGCTATAATTAGCCCAGTGAAGCTGGTTAAGAAATCTCCCATCGTAATGAAACAATTTTCCTGACACATTTGCAGCATGTTTCCACCAGAAAGTGCAAGCGGATTTGGGGTGCCTCTGCCCAACGCTGCTGAGAACCCCCGGATAGAGACACAAAAGCTGCCTGGACATCAACCAGTTAGGACCCTGCTGGAGCTTCACGGCTGAAAAAGGATGACCTGAATTTCCCCTGAGATGGTGCTGGGCTGAACAGACCTATTCATTTGAGGCTTTTACTTCTTTGGGCCTCTTTGGACTTCCCTTCACTTCTCTCAGTATTTAGACATGGCCACTAATGGGAAAAAATCACTGTTTATACTGGTGAATCCTCCAGAAACCCTGGAAAAAACCCTGATTTTTACCGTATTTTTGCTTTGTGGGGAGCAGAGGTGGCTGGGATGAAAAGAAAAAACACAGCCACAGAGAAGAAAAAAATGCCTTTCCCTAAACGTTTTAGATGGCAAATGCTCTACTATCTCTGTAGAGCAATCCAGTCACAACTATAAATAAAATTAAGCAATTACATTCCATGAATTCTCCAAATGAGAATACAAAATTCCAGTGACTCCCCATATATCACTGAACTTATAACCAACTCTACTATTTCATACCGCAATATGGTTCACTGAATTCAAATATTAACTATTGGAAAAGAGAAATCTCACATTGATTTAGTGAAATAAATGTATTTTGGTTTTGTGGCTGAATCTTTAGAGATAGCGCAACTTAAACGTATCTGTTCCTGGAGAGGCCATAAGTTCTAATCACTTTAAAAGGTGGTAAAGGGAAGCTGGGGGAAAGCAATGCCAAAGCCAGAGCCCTCACTCAAGTTGCACAACCAACACAGTGGGATTGCAAGGCACAGATTTAATCCCCATTACCCACCCATTTGAGAACAGACTTTTAAACAAGTGACATATAAAAAGCTGGAAAGAAGAGAAGAATACAATACCACAGATCCTTTACTGATGCCTGCATTGTACCAGCCTAGTCACACCACTCATCTTGCCAGCAGGTCAGCTTAGCAGTGAAAATTAACACAGCAGTAAACTGGACTCCTTTGAGTTAGTTTTTTTTTTTTTTTAAATGAGTGCAACATTTTCTAAACTTTCATCATCCACACTCTGTAATTCTAGATGTCAATTTGAAATGAGAACTGCCCAAGAAGAACCTATAGTTCATCTGGGTTGAAGATATATTTGGGCTCCAGAGAGAATGACATCTCTCATACCAAGTTGAGGGAGCCTGAATAGAAATCAGATGTCCAAAAAAGATATTTGGAACTTGGACACGGGAAGTAAGTGATATAAGATCAAGCTCACACTTTTTGTATTAGTAAGTTTGTGCTAATAATTTGAAAATTATTACTGTCTATTAACTGATACTATAGCCATGTTAGTGAAGAAGTGGCGTGTGATACAGGCAGGAATTTGAACCAACGTGTTTCATTTGAGCTCCAGTTCTGGCTCCTCTTCTGCCATGATAGAAATGGGGCTGGATGGTTCCAGTTCAGACCAGTAAAGCTTAGTTAACTGAGCTGGTCACCTTGGACTGTTTTGAAATAGTCTGTATTGGAAAATATACAGAAAATGCAAGGAGCAGGATGACGTGGTGCTCCAGACAAGAAGGAATGGGCTTCTCATGTGGCCGTGAGAGGATGGACAGAAGCACTGGTTAAGATGTTGATCTGTACACCCTCTCTGGGGCAAACGCTCCCTGTGCACGCAGGGCACATGAGTTACCAAGAGAGAGCAGAGCAACCTTTCATTCCCATCCACCATTTGTGATGACACATATCCATCAGACCATAACTCTGTATGAAAGAACAAACCCTGTGAACATTCAACCTGGAGTAGTTCAACCAGATCTTGTTTACAAGAACATTGGACGTGTGAAGGATTTTCTCATGGATGCAAGAAAACTGCAGATCCTGACTCCTCTGTGGGAGTCCAGCTCCAACTCTTTCAGTGCTTGACCAAGATGGCCTGGTGTAGCACTCGACATTTGCTGTCACAGTTATAAGCAACCTGTGCGTTACAGCCTGGTATCTGTGCAGAGATCAACCTCTGGGAAACAGAATGTCACCAGCATACCAAGTAGGAAAGAAGATTCAACAAAAAAGTCTATCCAAGATGTGAAAACAGTTGCCACTCAAACAACAGGCTACACTTTTTCAGATAATTTTCCACTGGCCACTGTGTCAGCATTTTAAATTCAAATCTCAACCCAAATAAATAACGTGGGTTTTTAAATTTTATTTTATTTTATTTTACTATATTTAATCTTGGGTTTCCTAATTATCTTTTAAGAGTTTTTAGAAGAAAGGCTTACAAACCTTAAAATAAGATCTTAAAACCTCACTAGATGGAGTGATTCTTACCTAGAAATGAAACGCAGACTTTACAGAAGGTATGAAACTGGAACTTGCTGGCAGCTTCCAGTAGGGTTTTTGCATTGGCTGAATCTATGATCAAAGAACCTGTATAAACAAACTCCAGGAGTAATTCCAGGACATCTGCAGTGAGGTTGGACATGGCCAATTCCAGCTTCTCCCCGCTTCTGCTACTGTCTCGTGGTGACCTGGTAACAGCAGACAATTAAATTATGGACATTACACCATCCCCATTTTGTTGGCATTTATTGATTAGTGAGGGCTAGAAAATAGCTTTGCACCTCATTATATTTCTCCATTTTTTTTTTGTTTACGGAACTGAAGAATATGAATTTTAAAATAACTGAACTTAAAAACTTTAACTGGATCTGAAAGAGAAGAGTCTTAAAGCAAGTTTTACAAAAAATCTCTTTATTGCTACTCTGCATTTTCATGCAAAAACAGTTGCAAAAGGAAAGGAAAGGAAAGGAAAGGAAAGGAAAGGAAAGGAAAGGAAAGGAAAGGAAAAACGAATGAGCCAACATTAATGAAAATGAGGAACAGGATTAGCTTTCAAAGGGAAACAATACATTTTAACAGCTTGGTTAACATTTAATCTTCTGTGCCTAATATAACTGTTAAGGAAAAAACACTCCAATTTCAAGAGAAAAGGTCATCTACTTTTTCAGGAATCCAGCACTGGAATAATTTTAAATGTCATGTGCATTTAAGGATACATTTAAAGACCTTTTCATAAAAAATAACAATAATAAATATTAATTTGTTTAACTTGAACTTAGTATATTAAAGTATAGATATGATGATAGATATGATATGCATATACAGATGGTCATATAAAAACCATATATATATGCTTATTCTAAAAATCTATTGTTCCCTTTTAGGCACTAAAAAAAGGAAGCCCTTCATGGCAATTGCTTTGAAAACTGAATACAAGACAAGATAGACAGACAAAATGGTTAGAGCAAAGAAGGGAGAGGGGGGAAAACAACAACCAGCTCCGCCACAGGAAGCCAGCAGCCATCCTCTAGGAGTTTCATGACTGTGGCCTACGGTTTTTCCTGCATGAAGTGCTGAACAATTTGGGGATCAAAGTATCTCCTGCATTTGAAGTGTGGATTAGTGCTTGTGAAATTATTGGACAAAAAGAAAATTATACTGAATTAAAGTAAGGGCCCAGTTCTTAATGCATGGTTGGCTGATGTGTCTGCAACACTAAAGACAGGTTACACCTGAAAGACAAAAGTGATAATAAATTTGGTAACGTCAAGGAGGGGAGGGGAAATCTGTTGGAGTAAGAAAATAAACTCTTTTAATGGTTAGGACCATCCAGCACCTTCTCAAAGAAACATGAACTTCTCCTAGTCACTGGACAGCAACGTCTGCTCGCTCCAATTCTGCTAGAGTACTTGCAAAAGCCATTGCACCATTGACACAAAACCGGCATACGATGCTGCGTGACTTCTATGGACTGGCCAAAGCATCACTACTCACAGGCAATGCCAGCTTTAAGCATAAGCAAGAGCACTACCAACCTCTTGGATTCACAAAGCTGCCTAGTCAGACCTCTACTATCATAATGGAGGAAAAGTAAACAACGTAAGAGGTTCAATTTTGTTCCCTCATAAACCAACGTGACACCCCACCCCACCCACCCCAATAACCCCTAGAATCATTTGTGGAAATGCTTAAAATTTGCAGTGGATGCTTTGTCACAGGTCTTCCATTGACTAGCCCTGTTCAAGTCAAGGGCACAGCTTTAATTTATACGAATCCTTGCAGCATCAAAGCTTCAAAGAGGTTTCATTTTTCTACTGAAAGTATTTAGATGGTGTCCGTTGTCACAATGGAGGAGCAGCTAGCAGTCCTTCATTCCATATGCTTCTCTAAGGTAGTGAACAATGGTTACTCCCATTCACAAAAGGAAACTGAGGCACAAGGAGACAAATACCCTTGCCTATGATCATAGAGAAAGTCAGGGGCAAAGCAAGGAACTAAATCCCATTTTTTTATTCTAAATATTGGACTATCCCTTCGCATGGGAATACAGGTGGGTTAGATCCTATTCCACAAGCAGATAGATAAGAATACATACTGATCACGATACCTGTGGTACCCCTACATGCACAGATGTGTATGCTACCCTGAATCCTTATGCTTTATCACACCACAATATTCTTTCTGAACTCTTGCATATGGATTCAATTTTGCACTCAAGGCAGAAAACCTCAGGTGTCAAAACAGAAGAGTTGCCGTTTCCTAGATCCTCAAGAGGATGTCACAAAATGTTATTTTTTTTTCTTTCTCACACTCACGTACCAATAACATTCCCCATATCTGATTTATCTCCAGTTGTGCACACATCCAGTGCTGCACCCTGGGCTATCAAAATGCCTCCTGGTACCGATGTAATTCTTGCTGAATTGTTTCCAGAAGCGGTTTGTACCTGACAGTGAGTTCACATTCACGTGGGCTGGTTGATAAGGACATTGCCTAAAATTTAAGTGAGATTTGAAGGTACCCAGCAAGTGGCAGAATCAGGCTCTTTGCACTGTGGGAAGCCCCACCGTAAGCAATTATTTATTTAACATCACTAATTGCACTGTGCTGGTGATGGCTGAGGGACTGACTGTGCATGACCCGGCAGGAATTGCACACTCTCTCCCAGCACACAGACGAGGAGGCACAAAGGAAAGGATGGCGTGACACCAATGTCAGCGTAGACACGTATCCACGGTAGCAACAACTGCAAGCTGCTATTTTTCAGAATAATTAAGTAATAATCTCTTTTACTTTGTAATACACCAAGCAATAAACTGCTGCTGCAATTGATTAAACGCCAAAGAAAAGCTAAGGTGTTTAATCAATCACTAGAGCCACTTACGGAAGCATAATACAAAGCTACAGAGATTATTGATATTACACAATGAGCCAGAAATGGGAAAGAAAATTATCCCTATTCCTTCCTCTGCAATGCCTTGAATGCGTTGTGCTGCTTTGCTTGTGTTTTCTAAGTGACGAGCGCTTTGGCTTCACATTTAGCTGGACCGAATACTGAGCCAAAGGGAAATCACAGTTACCCTCGTTTCCATGCTGGGGCTCTGGCTTGGTAACGGGCTGGAGAATGGACAGAGAATTGGCTGAAGCAAGTCCTAATGGATCAAAAATGAGTTTTTGAAGGACTGGAAGAAAATAATGTGGGGACACAGACTGATGTGACTGAAGTGGGAAATGCAGAGATAAATTCCCATAAATTTATTCTCTGAAATTATTTTAGTGAATCAGATTGTGGCACCCCCCTCCAAGCCTGACTAAAGCTTTCTGTGTTCCTTGTTTTCACATGTATTAAAATATCAATATGCTCCATGCGGTTATACTTTGTATATTTGGGACGGAGCCTTCTCTCGGCTACTCTAGAGGAACTGCAATGAAGTGGCTAAAGCAGTATTACAAGAACAGAATTTAGTCCTGTAAATGCATATGCAGTGGATTGGGGAAAATCTGTACGAATGTATACAGCTGTGCCCAAATAGCTCATCCTGTATCACATCAGGAGGAGTTTTGTCAGTGGCACTGGTAGATGCAAACATTTAGAAAAGTCTGCTCTCAGAAAAGCAGTGACTTCTTGCCGTAAGAGCTGGGAAAAGATACAGCTCTACCTGGTACATATACTCCTGTTCCCCCACTCCTGGCACAAACACAGGGTATTTTGGGAACGGAGAGCCTGCCTGCTTTGTGTTTCAGTCTCACTTGAAGCCAGGCAATGTACACAATGTCCACACGTCCGTGGACATCATTAAATGTGGCACATTTTGCTATTTGCCCTGCGAACTCTAAAGTTTAAACAGAATGATGTCATTTTATTGGCCTTGTAATCATTGCTCATATTATAAAGGTCACACATTTCACATTGTGGCAGAAAATCAATAACTCTCCCAACAGCCTCTGGGGGAAAAAGTTTTGCTTCTGAAGAATAACATATAATAAACAATTTTTGTCCTTACTTTATCATGGCTGTAATCTTGGAGAATAGCTACAGTAAAAATCTGGCAAAGGCTGATATATAAACTCATTAAAATTAGGAAGTGATTTAGAACAGGACTTTTTAAAAGATTTATCTTGAGCTAAACAGCGAAGAGGTTTGTTTAGGTCTACATTTAAACAAGCTCCAAGAGCTCTTTAACAGCTTAATTTTATGGTAGCTGTTGGGGAATCCTTTCAGATTTACAAATCATGTATTTCTCCAGCAAGGTGATAGATCTGAGCAACGTGCAAGCAGAACTGAACCCGCAGATAAGCAGGAAGCGCAGATATGCTCTGAACAGGTAAGGGGGAATTACTGAAAAATATTTTGTATTGTCTGGAATAATTAGGTCTAACAAAATAAAGCCAAGGCCTTTGAACATACTCTGGCTACTTACCCTTCAACTTAATTACTTGAACTAGAGAAGACAAAGGCACAGGGAACCTTTTAAAGCAAAAGATGGCTCAGCTACACTCTCAAGTAACAAATCAAAAATCGGTGTCCCTTTCTGTTATAACTAATATATAGAAAAGAGGTAAAGCATTTAAATACTGATAGCAGGAAAAATAGCCCTAAAACTCATCTGCAAGATTAAGAGTGGATCTGACAAAACAAAAAGTAGAGAACTTTACATTTTTGGTATTCATCTGTCCTTGAAAATCATTTCCATACATGTAATACACACAGATAAGAATCAGCACTAGTGTTTTCATGCTTAATAGTGATGCAACTGAGTTTTCTGTATCTTGAGTTATAAATATATGTATATCTATGCATTTTCCCTGTATTATTCGCATCAACACGTTCACTTAAGAGAACTTCTGTGATATTCAGTTCAAAACGTTTAATAGCGAGATGCCTTGATTTGCAAAGCCACGTTTAGAGTCTGGCTAAAGTAGCTGTGTAAGTGAAACACCACTAGCGCATCAATTTGTCAATTTATGGACAGTGCTACTGCCTCTAATTCAGGCTTCCCTCATGGTTTGGATATGCTGCCTGTAACCAGCTTGCAACATTATTTTGACTGACTAATGGTTTGGCTACAGCCTCACTCAATTTTAGATCAAATACGAAAAGCTACCTATACCCAGTACAGATGCCAGCCAACTCTCTGTTTACAAGCTATAGTCACAAAGTCAAAACAAATTCTGGATGTTCAAAATG